TTTTTCATTTCATATGAAATTGATGACACTCGTCACGAATTATTCATTTTAGGTCGCCAGAGGCTCGCTAAATTGAAACAATTCTTAGACTCGTTTCATAAATCTCATATGAAATGGAAACTCATGTAAGATCCTTTATGTATACATATAAGGTTAACATTTATAACAGCCATGGAGCTTCATACCGGCATAACAATTAAAAGGCATCTTTTCAAAAAAAGATAAATAAATTATTTTGGATATTAGTAAGAAGTACATACAATCATCTGATAATATGAAATAGGCAAAGTACAGCTGTGTAACTGTGATATCGCGATTAACATCAGCGAGCAGATCAAATTGGATTTGTCTCAAGACCAACTTCATTCATCACCCAATATCATCGAGAGAAAAAAATTAATCCAAAAATGAATTCCATCTGAATTAGGGTTATAATTATTATATAGTTGCAATACCGCAAAATGGACATATAAAATCACAGGAACTCACATATGATAATTTAAAATAAAAAATATGCTTGAAATTTACATGCAGAACCTGTTTTCCAACGTGTAGTAATGTAAATAATGTCCAGTCTTTTTCGTTCCATCGAGGGTTCTTTTAGCCTGGTATGGCAGGCTACAAGAAATACCATTTAATTTTTCGAATATTTTCCGGACCGAACTGTACAGATTTTGTTTCTTGAATGACATTTCTGGAATTTCGGGGCGTACGTTGTTATAGATTACATGGGTGTGCAGACTATAGATTTAATCATGTTTATTTCGTTTCGTTTTGTTTTCGTTTCGCACTTCACTTTGAACGAAAAAAGTGTAACTATGAGTCGGTTCTTCGATGCCTGTGAATGTTTCCCCGGGGGAGTAATATCAAACTCAGTATCCATGTTTTAAGAAAAAGCTATAAGCTAGCCGATTCATTTTAAATGTAACTATTGGCTAGCTGAACTCCAACCCCAATCGGTTAAAATTTTAATAGGTTTGGATGGAGGGAGAGAAAGGATGGATGGGAGAATAGGAGGCACGGTAGTGTAGTGGTAGGACGCCGGGCTCGTGACCGAAGGGTTACGGATTCGACTCACGTCACGGCACTGTGTTGTTTCTTTGAGCAAGATACTTTACTCCGCTTGTTCCAGTCTACTCAGCTGTAAATGAGTACGTGGTTGGGCAGTACTAGAATTGTAGAATGCTAGCTGTGAGCGCTGAAATGGCAGCACCGGCAATATGCTTCCAAGTGAATTGAGAAAGATATTGGCTGGTTCCAAAGGCCCTATAACCACGGATAATAATTTGTGAACCACTTTGAGACGACCCACGAACTAGGTTGTGATAAAACGGTATATAAGAACCTCGCATCATTATTATTAATAGTCTATATATTTTTAGAAGGGAACTTTTGACTGATTGATCCCTCTCCCTCGCTCTTTTAATTTTGTTTTAAGGGTTGGTATTTTCTAGCAGATATTTTCCTTATCGCCATTGATAATCCACATACACCGATTATATTATAGGTGTATTGACAGACGAGGCTAGTACCTGTGGATACTCATGAGACGACGACGACGACGATGACGTCATTTGGATACCTACAATAGGGTATTCCTTGAAGCTTCGACTGATATTTGGTATAGGACTTATACATTTTTAGAACGAAGCTTGGCTCCTTTTTTGGCAAATTTGACTTTCGTGCGCATATAAATTTTGATATAAATAGTCCGGACCTCGAACACACGATCTACCTAATCGCCAAGTCTAGAAATATATTTAGCTTATACCACCAGTATTCCACTGCATAATCGGAAGAGGCTACTAATGCGCCCCCCCCCCCCCCCCCCCCCCCCCCCCCCTGCAGAATCGGGGTTAGTTTCTTCCTTGTTTTCTGTTTATATTAGCATTGAAGAAACCAAGTAAAGACCTGCCGCGAGGCTGTGTCCCACTGTAAAAGTCGACTTACGTGCCCTTCCCCCATCCCCAAACCAAAATTACCAATTTTTTTCTGCTTTCCCCATTGCAATACTTCGTTTTCGTTTCTCACCTTTCCCGTCTTCCTCATATGTCTTGCTGTTGTGAGGACGTAAAACCCCAAACAAACAATCGACCATCACACTGTAGGTCGTGAGTTCGAGCCGCGTCAGAAACGGAAGATGTTTCGGTATGCAATTTTATACAGTTAATTAAACATGTAAATGCAAAAAAGTAAATTTTAACGAGTTTTCTCCCTTTACATACAAATAATAGCGCTGACTCAAATCAGCTAAAAAAGTCATTCGCATTGTCTTCTAACACTACATCACATAGTTCTACCAAATGTTTGAGCCATGGGAGACTTAGCCAGCTCCGATCGGTCGAAGGGAAGTAACTCGTAGGATTGATAGCGTATTAAGAAAATCATATTTTGCTTTCCACAGCATTCAGTCTCCACTGTATGGGACAAATAACACGAAGGCAACCAAAAAGCGAAGCATGAACGTATCTGCATGAAAAAGTAAGTGTATAGAGGCTGTAGAAATACAAGTAAATGAAGATTAAATAATCATGTATTTGCCATATGTGTAAAATGAATATTCATCCCAAATATATATTTAAAATTACTGCCAATAACTACAACTACCAAAGTTCTAGGTCCGATCGATTTTATTTTATTTTGAAAGCTGTTCTTTTTTTTGGAAATTTTACATTATCGGAAAGATAATGTTAAATCTCAAATAAAATATTTTTTCAAATTTCAAAATAAACTAAAATCGATCGGACTACAAGCTTCGGTTCCCACAGTTAGGGGGCACCTGACGTAACTGCCACCGACTCTCTCCCTTTTGATCCCCCTATGTATGTATTGTGTATGTATGCGCCAACGTTTTTTTTTACTTCTACTAGTATCTATAGTCATCTGTCAAATACTGTAAGACATATATATTTATACGGTGTGTAATGTAGATGCGATCTCGATTCGTTCTATTAAGGTTAAGGGTATCATGCATCAGTTATAATTGTAAGAAGAGTTCAAGTCGGATTTTTCTTGACTTTGAGTATTCTCCTTTCTATATACAAGATTTAGAAACCCAAATAAGTTTTTCTGTCTTATAGTAACGTCGCTTTTGAAGTTTCCATAGGCTTTGTAGTCAATTTTGACGAATTTTGATGCCATAGTTTTAATTCCCGGGTAGCACTATTGTTTTTCGAATTTCAACAACTATAATTCTTCGAAATGCATCGCAACATGTGATTTTCAACGAATATTGCTTTTGAAAAGGTTTGAAATAAAATATTCCTAATACGCATGTAATAAAAACGTGGGGCTATCGTTCCAAGGGAGATAACTCGTATTTTTGATAGCCGTTATTATCATGCTATCGTTGTAACTCTTATGGAAGTTAGAAATAATATAAAAATCGCTATTACTATCTAGATGATGTCATAAAAAAAATAAGGATGGAAAATGCCATTTTTATTTAAAAACGAAAGCCATCAACTTCGAAGCCTGTAACTATCTGTCGGGATTTTGAGATTTTAGTATTAATTTAAAACGGTAAAATTATCTTTTTTTCTTATCTTAATTATTAAATAATACGGGTACACTCAATATTTGTGTAACTGCCGAGCAGCCATGCCCAGATTGTCCAGATGGAGACATCACGTGGTCCGTCGATCAGTTGTATTGTGGAAAAGTTTTTTGCAATCTGTTAAATAAATTCATCCACCCAAAAACTGTGTTGGGATCTCACTAATGTCGTGTTTCTATTGTTTGTATCTGTGTAGTCAGTGTCTCGAGTTAGAATGGTAGAACATTATAATGTTGGCTCGTTTTTTATACTAACAGCAATTTAACCTCCCCTTCATTTGATGATTTGTTTTGTTTATTTCATATTTATATTTTCAACATTTTTGTTTTAAAAACCAAATGCACAAAGCATGTGTTTCTTTTCAGAAGTGATTCATTTCAGCTTTTGTATTATCGATAACAAAGTCATAGTTTCAATGTTTGGCAGTGGTACAGGGATCCTTAAGATAAAACATTCTGGAGAAGTAGTTTTTGTCAACAGGACGCATCTGTCCAAAACTTTATGATACTTACGTATCACAGGATCTTAAGACTTGACACCGTCTCTAGAATATTCGTTGAGAAACTCTAATAATGTTGACCACTTGTCTGATTCCTAAGTTCTCAAACAAGGGGGAGATAAGCTAGTAGTACAATGAAGTAGGAACATCCTTCATTTAAACTTACCTAGTCTACATGATTTTGAGTATCGAGTTAACTGTGACATGTCAACCGAAGAAAATTTCATAAATTGTATTCATAATGATATATTTGAATTAAAGCCTGCAATTATTCCGTGTATGTTCTTAGGGAAGACTTTGATTATTTTAGACCATAACTTTGAACATCCTCAAAGCAGAAACTTAAATTTATCAGATAGCATTAATCAAGACAATTCTTTCTTTGTGAGACAAAGAAAGGCGACCCCCTCCCCTCTCCTCCCCGAAAAAATGAATTACTAAAATGAAAATCTGTAAAAGGGTATTATTCTATAGATTTGGCCGAACGTTTCTCACGGTATACTTAACATTGTGTTTGGGTAAACAATTGTAAACGGTATACACAGATATCGATATAGATAAGGAAATGAAGATAAACAAGAGAGACAACGAACTGTCGACCTTGCACAGGTCAAAAGGTCAAACGGCCTTGACCATTATTTGAGACATATATGTAGCGCCATGATTGTTTCGGTGTGTGTACTCGTTGTATTTGTGCTGTGTAGTGGTGAGGTTTATGGTGATCAGAAAACTGTTACAGCTTCTGTAGGATCAATCATAGGTTTCAGTGGATTTTCAAACTTTGATGGCCGAGGAAAAGGCACAAAAGTATGGAAATATTTAGGTATTCCATACACTCAACCACCTGTCGGAGAACGACGATTTAGGAAACCCGTCCCATTGTCCAATTTTCAAACTTCATTCAAAGCTTTTAAATTTGGCCCAGCATGTCCGCAAAACCGTATCATGGCTAGCATGTGGATTCCTGGTGAAACTTACTATTCTGAAGACTGTTTAACACTGAATATTTTTGTACCGGAAGCGACATCCCCAATTGGTGGCAAACTTCCGGTAATGCTATGGATCCATGGCGGAGCATACGCTATTGGACAGTCGGCGATATATTCCGGGGAAAATCTTGCCGCCTTTGGTGACGTCATCGTAGTAACCGTTAATTACAGACTAGGAGCTCTAGGGTTCCTAGCAACACATGATGATGACGTCAGAGGTAATTATGGACTTTGGGATCAACATCTTGCCATGCAATGGGTACATAATAACATTAGATCTTTTGGCGGGAATCCAGAGGAAGTGACGTTGTTTGGGGAATCCGCTGGAGCAGCAAGTACAGTATATCAGGCAATGTATCCTGGCAACCGTGGATTAATGAAGAGAATAATATCTGAAAGCGGAAGTGCAAATAGCGCATGGGCATTTCAAAGTCGTGATAATTCGGCAAGATATACTACACTCCTAGGGAAATCACTGGGGTGTCCAAATTTAACGAATACGATGGCAGTCGTGACGTGTCTGCGAGGGAAACCATTCCAAGATATCATTGATCACTCGAGGGTTGGAACGCTTAAGGAGACTCTGTTCAGGACTGAGTTCGCGCCTGTAGTCGACAATGAAATCGTATTCATAGACCCGCTTACGGCTTTCGGACCAGGGAGTTACATGCCACGACCGGTAAGGGATTTCTTCTCCGAAATTGACGTCATCACTGGAATCAACAAAGGGGACGGCGAGTTCATTACCGCTGCATCATTATTACCATACTTACAAAATATGCTGACGTCATATCCGTCTAAGAAACCTATTGAAATCTTGGAAGAAACGATATTCCCATTGTTACTATCAGACCGTCTTGGAAATACAACCACCACACTGAACAAAGTGGCTGTTTTTCTGTACAAGGATTGGCACCAACCTTACATACAAAATCAGACATATATTCACGAACTACTGGACCTTTCTTCGGACCATTTCTTCTTCATACCCTCTCTATTTACAGCGCGTGCTCACGCGGAAAACACAAACAATGCTTCTACTTACCTCTTCCAGTTTTCCCATCAATCTTCATATACGAAGACATCGAATTGGATTCAGGGTGCACAACATGGTGACGAGATTGCGTATGTATTTGGTTTCCCAGCAGGCACGCTGAAAACGGCAATGAAATATCCGGACCAGGTGACTCAACAACAGATGACGTTATCCACCGCCGTGATGACGTATTGGACCAACTTTGCCAAAACAGGGTAAGATTTTTTTTTGCGATAACAATTTGTTCAAGTACACAATCAAGAAAATAAGATACGTTGTATCTTTTGAACAGTAGCGTAATGAAAGTCAATTGCTTTGTTTTGATGTAATAACATTACCAGAACTCATATTTTCAAAACGTACACGATTCAATGCCTATTACAATAGTTGTAATATTGTTGCCTGGTATGTGATCACGAATTAAGACGGCATTCTTAACCATAGGATTTACTGTTTCATATGAATTACTGACTTTCCAAAGACATTTGTTATAAATTATACGATTGTGAACTTGAGATAACACAATTTTGCTTCAATTACTAATAAGACTGAGAGTTATTCCCCTTCGTCCAAAACATTTCTTAATCCGTCATGGTTCACACAAACGCGTTATCATGTTAAGGTTAAAAAAAAAAAAAAAAATGAGCAGAAGAAAAAAGATGAGTGTGTGATACAGTCGAATGTTAATTTTCGTCGTTTCATCGAGGGCGAAACACATTAATCCGACTCGATGGTAGCCGAGTAACCTTATTTTGTTTCGGAAACATATGGTTGTCAACGTAAACAAATCTATTAATATATGTTCTTTTGCAGAAATCCCAATTATCCAATAGCCGTGGACAACAGTCCAGTATGGCCGGAATATGACCTTGAACGTCTCCGCTTCATTGACTTTGATACCAATATTACCATTAGTAATCACATGTACGCTACACGCGAGGCGTTTTGGTTACATTTGGCGCGCGATCTACAGAACAACGTCATATCCGCCGGAACATCTTCACATGTGATTCCACCACTTCCGGGAATTATTATTGGCTGAGCTTTTTTTTTTAAATAAATGATTCGAATGTCTTAAGTTTTTTGACGCTTATTTTTTCTTGATAATAATTGCTATAGAGAATGACAATGAACATGCAATGTATACATATAATTCGTACAGGTCACAAGCGCTGTCTTCAAAATGGCAGAGAGGTTTCTCTGACTTTCAACAACACCCAGGAATATGTCATTACGTCCAACGTCATGAAGATTATTTTTAGACAAACAAATCATTCTGAACTACTTCCAACATGAATTCAAGATCAGAAGAAGCTGTGAAACCCAGCTCCTTACTCTCCGCCATGATCCTTGAGAGCAACATCGTAACCGCATGACGGAGTAAGACTAATCTCATTTATCCAGCATTTTTAAAAGCGTTCGACAGAATGCCACATCAACGCTTGTTGAAGCTAGACTTCTACAGTGTACGGGGGCCATTATACTCTCGGATTAAAATCTTTCCTGTAGAAATAGACTCAGCGGTCATGGTAGAAGGGAAATAATCAGAACGGTACCCAAAGGGACCTGTCTAGGACCTCTCCTTTTTCCTGATATATATTAATATTATTCAAAATAACATCACTTTTGATTTTCCGCGTTTGATTGCGTTGTCCACGGGACAAGGAGAGGAAAAGAAGCAAGTGGTACACTGCAGTGAGACCAATCGGAACTGTCTGATTGAGAACACAAGGTTGTATGGAGATCCTGCAGACAACTGGTTCAAAGAAGACGGGCTCTACACTACTCAACAGTATTGACACTATCACTGGCGTTCCTTACAAACCAGATTCTGCGCTGGCATTGTTTCTCGGTCAGTATTGCTATACCTCCTTTTCTTGAAAATTCAAAAAAAAAAAAAAAAAAAGACATACACACACTTAGTGACAAAGGCGGACACTTATACTATAGCCCTGTCCAGGCCTCGAACTCACGACCTGCGTCACCTAATCGCCTAGCCTAGAAAATCCGTAGCTTTTACCAATACACCACCTCGCCTCCTAAAAGGCTCAGTTTGTACCACCTTGTGATGGGACGAGAAAACTTGTTTGATCCTGTTGATGTAAATCAAAAACAATCTTGCGGTATTCAACATCGTTGTAAGCTTTTTAGCATCAACGATATCCAGGGATAACCCCTGGATATCGAGATTGCATGACCATTTCTGGAGTATCGGGCCACAAAGCAAAGCTAAACAGCATCGTAAAAATAGGACCGCGGTAACTCTATACTAGCTACTTCCGTGGCGGAGGATTTTGGAAGCATAGTATTTCGACGTTTCCATGACTTCAATTGTTCGTACATGTTACCGGAAAAGAGCTGCGCTTCTTGACCACTGCACCATCGGAATTTTCGTCGATGTCGCAGTGAGATGTTCAATGACAATCTTCACAAATAAAACACACACAAAAACCAGTATCGGGGGATAAGTGTGTTTATTAATAGGCTGCAATAAACCTGACAAGTACGTCACGCTGATGTTGTCCAAGAGCAAGTATGACAGCTAATACAATTGAAAGCGTTATATTCCGTCTTTTCGCATTGCAGAGTTATTTGCTCTTGGGAGCAGGTATTGATTGTTACGTCATTGGGTTGTGTGAGAAAATTACGTTAATTTCTCAAAAAATTATGACGTTACTCTCACATACAAATGACGTAACAATCAATACCTGCTCACAAAGGCAGCATTCGGCAAACCTCGGCCGATTCCGGTACCTTTCATCTAAGATGGAGATCTGCCGAGGTGTGCCGAATGCAAAAGCAGATGACTCTGGAATACGAGAAGACAGAATAGGTATCAAGTCAGTAGTTCATAATTCTACCACACATTTCTGAAATAGTCCAAGAGAGCAAAAATGAGCGTAACCCCTGGATATCGAAGATGAAAAAAGTCACAACACAATCAAATAATACAATGTGAAGGTCGCCGTAAGTTCAGTGGTTACCTGTCTATCAAACTCTCACAAATAGGGGAGACAACTGTTGACAATATATTTATCTCTTCCTTTGAAAAGTTTTATTGTAAAATGTTGAGGAGGTTGATGCTTTACTCCATCCTGCTGTTTTCATGATGGTTCCAAGTGGCACATTAGCCCTAAATACTACTGCCCGAGTACTGTGAGGTGGAAACATATTTAGGTCATTTCCAGCCTCCAGAAGGCCAGTTTTGATCCACGGAGATGGCGTTCTTACACACAGAGGAATGTGATTCCCGATAGCCGAGGGAAACCATACCCAACCATATCCAACGAAAGTCCACTTTGGAATTAAGGACGAGGCTGTTTCAACAATTAAAAAGACTGAATTTTTACAAACTCTCGTTGAGAAATTAAATTTCTTGTGTTTATCATATGAATGGACAACGGATCACACAGATAAACTCCACCCCACTCCCCCACCCCGAACCCACCCTGTTTTGTCCGTGAATTTTGACTCTTTTTAACATGATTGATGACCATGAAACTCTAAGCAGGTGTAGAAGTCAATTTTATTATACTATGGTGTAAATATAAAATTAATTTGTTTAGGGGTGCATGACATATCTTGCATACAAAGTGTTTACGACAAAAATGATAAAGTGTGATTTTTACCGTGACCTTTGACCCGTTGTTTTTTTTACTGATAACAACCAAAATCTAATCAATCGTAGAACATAACAGTAACATACTATGATTTAAATATGAAGGTCATTTGTTTAGGGGTTCGCGATATATAATGTGGGAGGAAACCGGAGTACCCGGAGAAAACCCACGTAGTCGGGCAGGCGACCCCATACCTGTTCACGTCCGATCTGGTAATCGAACTCCGACCACTTTAGTGAAAGGCGAGTGCGTTATCCACTGCGCCACTCGACCACCTAAGCGACGTAATACCATACCAGACACATTATTCTGTGATTAACCGAAGATTAAACATAAATTAAACATTCAATTAATAGTTATTTTTACAATTGGTTTTCTTTCTTCAAAATATGTATTTAGTTCATGAGCGATTCAGCACCGTATACATTATTATGTATATTTGTTCAATCTTTAAATATTGTATTTTAATTAAAAGGACTGATGTAAAAGGCGATTTGTTTCCCTTGTAATAACCAGGGTATGTAAAATGGGCCGCTTCGGTTATCGCGATCCAAACGGTTGGACCGGTTTGATCAGAGTTGTTCGTTTATGACATAAGGTCGTACCTAGTAATATGACGCTGCTTTCAGGCGAGCCTTGACAAAGCCTTGCAAGGCCTGCATAAACATTAATGTTGCAGGTCCCCCAGGATTTATTCTCGAAAAATGTTCCTTTTAAAAACAGATAAACCGGTAGGTCCGCGTAAACAAACAAGCCCATAATGTTCAGAAAGGCAGTTACTTATGGAACAACTGTTTATATACTTTACCATTACCTGGATTGGCAGTCTTGAGCGGTATACTTGATAACGTTCATAAATCATTTCTTAGAAAAATATATCGGATGTCGTCTTTATTTTGGACTGAGCCATTATATCTCTCATAACATAGCCATGTGATGTTTCTTCTTGTGACTCAAGTATAAAATATGGCCGATCACAGAAAATAATTCATTGTTTTATCTTATAATTTTTTTTTCTTTACGACCGACATTCAGAGATCATGGAGGTAATGCTTGTGAATTTGATACGCGGTAAAGTCGATATGGATTATTTACTTCGCGATAAGCAAAAGTTGCAACCACGAGTTATTCCCCTTGTACTGTATATGACATTAACAACACCACTTCCTCTGCACCCCTGTAATATGTCATAGAAAAATTGAAGGCTCGGTCGGCGCCAACAAAAGAATGTCGCGGTCACGTAACGGTAAAAATTGACAGGCTTTGAAGTCGGGCGTCTCTCATCCCCGATATCTAGGGGTTACGCTCACTTTTGCTCTCTACACCCCTGGAATATGTCTTAGCAAAAGAGAAGCTCTTTGATTAGTCTCAGGTTAAAATAAACTGACCAATCGCTAGGCTGATACCTGTCCTTTGACGATTACAAAGGAGAGACGCCCGACTTCAAAGACTGTCAATTTTTACCGTTACATGCCGCGAGATTCTTTTGATATATCAAAGAATCAAGCTACTCTTCTTGTCTCATCAACAAGGTGGCGCACAATGAGCCTTCAATTTGTTCTATGACATATTCCAGGTGTACAGAGAGCGAAAATGAGCGTTATCCCTGGATAGCGAGGATGACAACCCCGTTGCTCTATTGAGCTATTTTACATGTAACTAAAAGAAACAGAATATTTAAAATATTTATCACATGATTTAGAGTTAGGTTCTTATCATTTACAACAGAAGCATTGGTTTAATTTGAACTCTTGTGTATTCAATATATAAAAAAACACCCACATTTCTGTAGAAATGAAAGTAATTGACAGTAATTTACAATTGTCAATCGCTGAACCATAATATCAGCATAACATACTATATGAGTTGTAAATATCGGCCTTACTCCAGCTACCTTTCAATGAATTTCACTATTCTTATATTTCGTTGTAGAATAACCTCCAATCCCCCTTGTCTTTCTCAAAAACAAAATAGTGTCCCTTTTGTTATTTACTCAGGCTTTTTAAAAAGATTCATTTGATAGGAAATGGTCTGGTCTCACGAGCTGTTTACAAAAAAGCTACATCAAAATTAAAGCAGACTGGGTCACTCCAAAATAGTTAACTTAAAATAGCATTGTACTTCTGAAGAATGAAGTCCAAATTTTGCCTTAAAAAAATTGTATACTAGGGCATAGAGATGGACCTATACGCTTTTAATTCTTCTCAACGTTTCGAACGAAAAGCACATTCTAGGTCATCCATACCTAATAATTTAGATCGATAGAGCAACGAAATGATAGTATTCACAACAGTAGCCATAATATCAGGATTGGAATATCTTACGCAGCGTCAGACCATCACTATCGATTATCCGTGCTCAGCCTCTGTCGTGGCCACTCTACAATATACAAAAGAAACACACATCCGCTCTCCCACCGCGTCTCAAACATGATGGGTGCGTTCG